CAAAATATAATAATGAAAATCATTTTCTGAAACATTATCATCATCATGGACTTACTATATTGCTGAGGCCGGATTCTGCCATGTCAAACACAACAGTAAGCGGCATCCCGGGTTCTTTCTTTGCGTACCGCTCCAGCCAGAAGGCGACATACTTCTTCTTGTCCACTATTGTTTTAGCATCCTTGACGTGAAGCTTTACTTTGAACCAGACTAAACACAGGAAAAATTGTTTAATGAATTATACACTTGTTTTTTTTAGATCACATTCTGGGTAGTTTTGGATTTATGTAGTAGTGTTTTAACACATTTAATGAACCAGATATCAAATCAAACTGATGAAAATGAGTATTTACTAAGTCCATATCAGTACAGTTTAAATAGGTCTTTGATAAAGTATGTACATACAGAGCTTGTTGCCTTCTTTGTCATAGCCGTGGAGGAAGACAGCACCAGTCTCAAACATCCACCTGGGGATGCTGCTCTCAGTGAGATCTGAAACACGCAGGTGTACACACAACACATTGTTAACTGGTGTTAGTTCTCATTTAAAGCATTAAATAAATACAGCTGAATAGAAAAACCTCCACCCCACACCACATTTTGATTAATAATTAACCAAGCCACGAGAATCAACTGCTAAAAAAGAAAGGGTCCAAGTTGAATGTGTAGTTCAACGAAAGCACAAGCGCACTCATGGACTTGAATAAATCAAGTTTCCTGAAACAACTGTTGCACAAATACAATTTGATGGATTAAAGAGGGACTAACACTAACAAGTCAGAAAGAAAATTCCTAAAGGACAGAAACAGTGGGGATTGTTCTCAGCGGTAGCCTATGCATGGAGATATATGGGTGTGTGACACACAATGACACTCTGTCCGGGCTCATCTCGGAGCGGCACAGCCGTTGATGTGTCTGTCACAAGCTGGCAAACTTAATTTAACAATGTCAACAGTTCTGCTATTGACTCTGGATATTTAACTTTAAGGTCAATTGTGTCTGTAGCACCAGGATTAAAGTTTTTAAAACTTTTGCAAAAGGGAAAGGGAGCTAACAGATATTGCTTGACAGATACTGTATTGACACCAAAGACGATGTGAAATCAAGCACGTCCTGTGTAAAACTTCTTACCGTTCACACCAAATTCTTTTCTCCACTGGAAACTATCATCGATCATTTTCAAGGCATCGTCAACAACATAAGTCCTCCATGTGAGGTAACCCTCCACCAGAGCATCGTCTGTCTGAAGCCTCTCCACGTCTCTGGAGTCATATTTTTCTGTTGAATCTGTAAACACAACAGGTAGAACCAGGTTGAGTCACATGATGCTCAAAATTCAAATGGGATTCACTTTCAACTTTACGTCTACTCATCAATGCTGAGCTGCTGTTTGCACAGTGCTGTGAACCACCAGCAGGCCGTGAAGTTCAGCCCCAGGGCTGTCACTAGTCTCTGGCACAATATGTGACAAAACGTGGCTAATATTAGCTAGTTAACTGTTGGAGCTTATCTGGGCTCAGAGCATGTAGGTCACCACAACGTTAAGCAGCAGTCAGCTAAGCTACAATAAACGAACGTATGCTGATGACAACAACCACACAAGTTGACGAGGAGAAAGTGAATTTGTAACTAAGCACAATAACTTGTGTAACCTTGGACGAACTCGTTGTTGAATCTCAGCCTCGTCTCCTCGATCTTCTTTTCGAGGTCCTGTCAAAACAGTGTCAGACACGTATTCAGGTTTCAATATGATCACTTGTACAACCGGTGGAATAAATGAAGCTGTGTTCTGTCGCTGTTGAACGGTACCTGCTCTCCTTCGTGCTGCTCAAGTTCAGCCATGTTCAACAGTCGCTCTGCTGCCGCTTCCTCCCCCGGTAGAGCTAGCGAGTTTAGCTAGGATGAATCAGTGCGAATTGTGAAACCGTCGCCCCGCGGTATCCATTTTGGCTCCGTTCGTAGCCACGCCTCTGGGCTGTGACGTTGAAAGCAAAGAGTGAATGATGGGAGGGCGATGATCAGGATGAGATTAAAGCCAATCGCTGTCACACTGGAGTCGTTTTAAATACAGAGCTAACAGGCTGAGTTTATTAAATACAGAGCTAACAGGCTGAGTTTATTAAATACAGAGCTAACAGGCTAAGTTTGAATACAGAGCTAACAGGCTGAGTTTATTAAATACAGAGCT